TGCGAAGATCCAGTGGTCTTCGACCCATCCCGCTACTGCGCCTGAGTCGTGTTCCAGAGGCCTTGGGGACATGTTCGGGGATCTTGGGTGGTCTCTTGGGGGCTCGTGGGGGCCTCCTGTGGCCCATGAGGATCATGTTGCAGAGGCTCGCTTCCAGCGTTGCGACAGGGGCATGCTTTTTAGGCATCTCTCGGGGGCTTCTTCCTCTCTTGGGAGTCTCTTGAGCCATCTTGGGCTGGTCTTTGGAGGTTCTTGGGCTATCTTGGACGCTCTTGTGACCGATGCGGCGAGAATGTCGAAATCACACCGATCTCCAGGACTTCAGCTGTTTTGGGTTTCTTCGCCGGCCCCCCAGGACCTCCAAGACGGCCCGCGAGTCTCCCAAGCGTGCCGAGGCTTGTCCTGAGAGGGCTCTAGTGAGCCTAAGTGGCCTACAGAGAGCCGCATTGGCCCAACAACCGCGCGAGTCACTCTAGGAACGAGGGTGTGGGTTCGGAGGCGCCCCCCCCCCCCAAGAGACCTCAGATCCCTCCCCCAGATATTGTCGCCGGGTGCCATCGGTCATGCCCCCCAGGACCCCGGGCCACCCCTCAGCGACCCCCCTTCCCTGGCGGGGAAGGGACCAAGGGGAGTCGGCTTCCTTTCGACTCGATAACGACCTGGGTCGATTCACCTCGGGCCGGCGAGCTTGGAGAGCCCCAGTAGGGAAATGAAGGGTACGGACAGGATTGGCGTGCCGCGCCGCCAGTTCTGACCCACCACGCTTCGGCGCGCCACGCTATCCATGTCCCAGTCCCCGAGCGTCAACGTCCCGAGCCTTTCACAGCCTCCCGCTCCGCGGAGTGGAGCGACACGCTATCCTCTCGCAGGACACAGCGAGTCGTCGGGGCCGCCGCTGCGACGCGCTAAGCAAAAGTGTCCGGCCGTCGGTGGTGTACTTCACTGAGGAGCATGTGCGCCTCTCCCCCCTGACGTTGCACCCCCCCGCTCTGGAGACCGCCCTGCTGCAGCAGCAGAACGCGGAGCTCGTCGGCGAGTTGGCCGAGGCGCAGGCCACCAGCGCCGTGCTGCTCAGGGAGCGCCTCGCCACCTCCGGGCGGCGGCGGGGGCCCAGGAGGAGGAGGAGGCGGAGGAGGAGGAGGCGGAGGAGGAGGAGGAGGCGGAGGAGGAGGAGGAGGGGGAGGCGGAGGGGGAGCCAGAGGAGGAGGAGGAGGAGGAGGAGGAGGAGGAGGAGGAGGAGGAGGAGGAGGAGGAGGGAGGAGGAGGAGGAGGAGGAGGAGGAGGAGGAGGAGGAGGAGGAGGAGGAGGCAGAGGACAAAGCGGACATGTCTGTTCTTCCTCATCCATGCTTTCTTGCCCCTTCTCCCTGCGCCGTGCTCCACCTGCTGCAGCTGTTCCGCCAGAGCCGCCCGATTTGCCTGATCTGCAGCCTCTGTGCCTCAGCCAACCTGCAGAAGGGGGAGGAGCAGCTGGACGACGAGTAAGAGCAGGCGGAGGTTGACCCATCGACGGCCTGCAGCCTTGCACAACCGGGGCGTGCTGGACTCCGAGGGTTCCGAAAATCAGCATAGGCCAGAGTGCAGTGGCTGATAGGCGCGCAACCCATTTTTTCCGCAGCCTGCTGTTGTGGGGATGCTCGTCGTTCTCTGCCCGGCTCTTCCACGCCTGCCCCTGGCATTACTCCTGGTGCTGCTGCTGCTAATCCTCGCCCTCTCCGTATTGCCACTGTTCCTGCATCCGTCTTCCTCTCGCCATTCTCGACATCGGGGGGGTGTGGTGAGAAGGTGCAAGGCGCCATCGGGCCTCGCGGGCAGGAGGACACCGAACTGCAGCGGATAAACCTTGAGCTGCAAAGGCTCCTGAACGTCACGAAGAATACGACGAACAGCGGCACGGCCAACGCCACGTACAGCGGCTATCACGAGATCGAGTTGTCGGGTGCGAAGGCGTGTTCCCCTTTACTCTCTACGGCGCTTCTTTCCCACCAGCAGTGTTTCGGCTCACGGCATCTCGAAAAGAGTTGCTCCTCAATTCTGGGCTTGAGTCGACGTTGCGCCTTGTTCTGGTGCCTGCGCCTGCGTTCTGGGCCACATCTGCTGCAGTCACCTTTTCGCTTGTCTTGCTCTCGTTTCGAGGTCTTCTTGTATATTCGGCTCGAAGGTTTTCTCAGAGACATCCATGAGTCAACCACAAAAGACATCCTCAAAACTTTGAGTGACCAGTACATCCGCGCATGCCCTCTGTGAGACACTCGGCAGTCAACGGCAGGCTTTTCCTCGGGGGGGATCTGTAACAGGAGTCGATCATGAGCGCCTCCGCGGGCCTCTCGAAGGAGGAGTGACAGGAAAACGAAGGAGGAGGAGGCAGGTGAGGAGGGCGAGGAGGTGATGAGGAAAGGGAGGGACGTGGTCCCACTTAGCTCCTTTTGAAGCCCAAGGTGGGAGGAGGAGGAGGGGACGGACAGGAGAGGAGGAGGCGGAGGAAGAGCAGGATGTGGAAGAAACAAGGCTACGACGACAGGAGTCAAGAGTCAACTACAAAGGCCTTCTCGGATCTCTTCGAGGCCTCTTGGAGCCATTTTGGGGCCCTCGTGGGGCTATCTTGGGAGCATCCAGAGCTCTCTTGGGGGTCTCTCGGGTCTCTTTTTGAGGTCCTTCAAGGCCATCGATTACAAGGGGAAGATCCTCAATTACAGCCCCCCTTCCGGAGCCCGACAGCTCACCTCTTGGGGTCCTATCCTGGCGCTCTTGAGGGCCTCTGAGCCGTCTGTGAGCTCGACTCGGGCTCTTTTGGGGCTCTCTTGAAGCCTTTTGGGGCTCTCTTGGGGCTCTCTTGGGGATCCCTTGGGGCAACCTTGGAGACATTTCGAGGCCTCTTGAAGCCCATCTAAAGCGACGTGGCGAGAAAGCGTCTTAGGGCCGTCCTGAGGCCTCTTGGAGGCATGCTGGAGGTCAGCTTGAGCCAACTCGGATAATCTTCCGTCATCTAGGAGGCCGTTTCAGGACGTTCTTGGCTATCTTGGAGCCATCTTGGCCCGCAAGCCATTCCAGGATACCCCCGAGAGGCCAAACTTTTCAAGCACCTTGTGCCTTCCAAAGACTGTTGCTGAAAACGGGTGGCCTGAATTCAGGTCCCCTCGGAGGCCAACAAATCGCCTCTCGATGTCCTCCTCGGGCTCACTCGGGGTGCTCCTGGGCGCCTTTGAAGGTCATCTTGTGCCATCTTGAGGCCATCTTGAGCAATCTGGGGCCATCTTGGAGCCATCGCGAGCCCCGAAGGACCCCCTGATCGCTCATGGGGGTGTCCGCCCAGACCCAGGGGAGGAGTTCCGCTGACCAGGCTGGCGAACCTCTCCGGTCAGCGCCCGACGAAGACACTGGCGCGCACGTCTCTCCAAGACGGCCCGGCCACGCGCGTTTCGGCGCGGCGTAGGTCAAGTCAAGCGGGAGCGCGCGGGCAGCTGGGTCCACGCATGGGGATGGACAGCAACACTCGCGCACCTGCACCCGCCCCCGCCCCCGCACGTACGCGCACACACCCGCACCCGCTCCCGCGCAAACACACGCACACGCGTTCTCACGTGAACGGCCCGAGGAGCAACCGACCGAGGGGTACCAGGTCCAGGTGCAATGGCCGATGCAGTTGAGGGTGGTGAAGTTACACCAAGACCCGGGGAGCAGACCTCGTCCTCCTCCTCCTCCTCCTCCTCGTCCTCCTCCTCCTCCTCCTCCTCCTCCACCTCTCCCTCCCCTCCCCCCCTCCTCCTCCTCCTCCTTCTCCTCCTCCTCCTCCTCCACCTCCTCCTCCTCCTCCTCCTCCTCCTCCCTCTCCTCCTCCTCCTCCTCCTCCCCCTCCTCCGCCTCCAAGGACGAGGCACGAGCCGGGCCTGGCGTGGTCTCGGAAGCACCGACGGCGGGAAGGCCAGGCAGCGACCGTGGTCAAGGAGCATCGCCCAGAGCCAACCCAAGGGAGGGCACAGTCCTGGAAGAGGAGCTAAGCTTGTGGAAGTCGGTCAATGGAGAAGAAACAGGCTGCCAAATAATTCAAAAGATGTCCAAAACATGTTTTTACGCATTTTAAACACACTTTTAATTCAATGATCGGATTGTCAGAGTGTCCATGGTCGTGGCATCCACAAGGCTATGCCGCAGGCCCAGGTTTTGCTGCTTCAGGGGGAAGCGCAGGTGCAGGCAGCACGCAGCGTTCGGGCACGAGCCGAGCGGCAGGATGCAGGCCAGCCCAGGACGGCAGCAGCGGAAGGACACGTGCTCGCACTCCTTTTCCTCACTCGGCGATGTGTATCACGCTCGCTGGGTGTGCTCGCGGCACGTGTCAGCATGCACTGCAAGCGCACGCGTACGCCACAAGCGCGCGCCCATCACGCGCACGAACCACGCACAACAGGCGCCCGCACGGTGCGGTCTGGGCCGCGGGTGGCTGTACGGTCGCTGCGCCTCTTGCTCGGGGACTTCGGCGTAATGGCTCAGTTCTGTAGGCTTAGCATCGGTGCATGTCCGAGGCCCCAAGCGGTGGATATGTTTGAGTTCTGGCCTCGCCGTTAATATGGCGCGCAGCCCCCCGCGGTCATGTGCGTGCGTGGACGTTTTGGATGTACGCCTTATGAAATGCGTGCGGGTGGATCGCCGACTGGAAACATTCGTTACTGCTGTATCGTAAGTCTGGGGATCTGGCACCAATTAGGCTAGAGCCAGCTTGACGCGATTAGCATGCGAGTACTGCGTTGGTGCCGTTTTATTTGTCCGTTGTGCGCCTCTCCTCTTGTTGATCTTGTTTGTCCAGCTTTTCGAGCTTAGAGCTTCCTGCTGCCCGCTGTTTCAAGCTTCTTCTGATCTCCGACACTCTTCATGCGCGCTCTCAGTAGGTCGTCACAGAAAGCACCGCTCGCAGCGGAGTATCCTGAAGCCCGTGGCAATCTGCGTCACCGTCGTCGTGGCCACTGCAGTCCTATGTTGCTGCTCTGCGCGCGTCCTTCGCTACAGGCGCGGGTGGGGCAAGCAGACGGAAGGGTGGCAGAATGAGGGTCAGAGGGTGAGCAGAAATGAGATTATTTTCAGTAGAGCAGGGGGATGCGGAGGCGGCGGAGGAGTAGTACGAGGAGAAGCGGAGGAGTGAGGAGAGGGATGGGGTGGAAGAGTGGAGGAGTGAGGAGTGAGGAGTGAGGAGTGGAGGAGAGTCGGAGGGGTGGAAGGAGAAGGGGATGGGCGGGGGAGCTGGAGGGGGACGACGGGGAGGTGGAGGAGGAGGAGGAGGAGGAGGAGGAGGAGGAGGAGGAGGAGGGGGAGGAGGACGAGGATCAGGAGGAGGAAGAGGAGGAGGAGGAGGAGGAGGACCAGTGTAACTCAAGACTTCTCAACCATGTTGGAATACACCTTCCCTCCAAGATCCCTCCTCATAGGCCCCTCACAAAGGGTCATTTCCACTGGGGGAATTGCTCCGTTGGGGGACAACCGCCTGAACACTTTGAAGCGTGCTAAATAACCATTCTCAGGACTTCCACGCCACGAGTTAACCTGACTGTTACATTTTGGCGATCCTGACTCGTGCCAGAACACCATTCTTTGGACTGCAGCACTGCGAATCAACGTAACTGTTGCACCCTGACAATCCTGAATCGTTCCGAAGCACAATTCCGGGTACGTTCACCGTGCGAACCAGGGAAACTCCTGCACGTGTTTAAAACGACTATGGGGCCACGAAACGAGTGAGGGGTGTGCCAAACTGGAGGGGGGGCGGCATGCGAACCATGCCACTGGGGCCTTCGGTGGAGCTGGCTCTGGGGCCGCGGGAAAGGGGGGGGGGGCGGCATGCGAACCATGCCACTGGGGCCTTCGGAGGAGCTCCCTCTGGGGCCGCGAAACGTGTGAGGGGTATGCCAATGTGGAGGGGGGGCGGCATGCGAACCATGCCTCTGGGGCCTTCGGTGGAGCTCCCTCTGGGGCCGCGAAACGTGTGCCAAAGTGGAGGGGGGGCGGCATGCGAACCAGCGGGAGGAGCGGGAGACGGAGGAGGAAGGGAAAATGTGTGTATATTCCTCTTCGAATATTCTTGCAACGGATAACTCCGGGTGAATACCCCCCCCGTACATAAATTCGGCCCTGGGCGGTCCCATCGGGCAGACATTCCGTTTTTCGGTTCCGCGGAACACCCAAACGACTGAAGCTCGTCTCAGGACGGCCCTGGAGGCCCCCAAGACGGCTCAAGAACGCTCCCAGGGGTCCCCCAATGCGGCCCCAGGACATTAAACTCATCAAAATCTTTCGGGACAAAATTGCATTTCCACTACATTCGTGCTCTGGGCGTCAACGACGCCCACGACAGTCCAAGAGGCGCCGGACAGTTCCCAAGACGGCTCTGAAGGCCCCAAAGACAGCCCAAGAAAGCCCCAAGACAGCCGCAGACACGCCCAAGACAGCCAAGGAGAGTCCAAACAGGGCCCCAAGTGAGCCCCACAAAGCCTCCAGAGAGGGTCGTTCGACCTTAATCTCAAGGGTGTGGCTTTCATCCTGCCCCCAAGACCTGCCCGGAGGCCTTCAGGACGTTGCCAAGAAGTCCCCAGAAGCCTCCGAGAAGCCTCCTCTTCGAGAGGCCCCCAAGACGCACCGCAGACACCTCCAAGAGACCACATCCCCATGCAGCTGCGTGTGACGCAGGGCGTCACGATCTCTTCGTTCTTGAGGCGTATGCCGGAATGACCATGAGGAATGCGAAGCAGCCCTGCGGTACCACTACTCCTTTTATGAAAGCGTCCCCTGTGAGCTTCATGAGCCCTATGGTGCCCTATGGTGCCACATGAACCCTATGAGCCCTATGAGCCCCATGACCCCGGTCACCCCTGTGAACCCCGTAAGCCGCATGAGTCTCACGAAGCCTATGAGCCCTACGGGCTCAATGAGCACCTTCTATTAGTGGCTCTCTCGCCACCGCCCGCGCGTGACCTACTTGCTGCGCGTCGGTGCCAAAAATGCCCCCCCCTTCCAGCGTTACTGGCGTCTTCGCTCCCACATGTCCAGTGGGCGCGGCAGAAGTAGACCGCATGAGCCCCATGAACCAGTGGGACCCCAGAAAAAGCCCCCCCCCTAACACACGCACACATAACACACAACACACAACACACGACTCACAACACACGACCCACAACCCACAACACACAACACACAACACACGACACACAACACACAACACGACACACAACGCACAACACACAACACACAACACACACAACGCACAACACACAACCCACAACCCACAACCCACAACACGCAACACACACAACACACACCACACAACACACAACCCACAACCCACACCCCACAACGCAAATCACACAACACACGACACACAACACACAACACACGTCACACAACACACAACACACAACACGCAACACACAATCCACAACACACAACACACAACACACAACCCACAACACACAGCACACAACACACAACACGCAATACACAACACACAACACACAACACACAACACACAACACACAACACAACACACACAACACACACAACACACAACCCACAACCCACAACCCACAACCCACAACCCACAACACACAACCCGCAACCCACAACCCGCAACCCACAACACACAACACACAACACACGACACACGACACACGACTCACAACACACAACACACAACCCACAACACACAACACACAATACACAACACACAAGACACAGCCTACAACATACAACACAGTACACACAACCCACAACCCACAACATACAACGCACACCGCACTACACACAACACACAACACACGACATACAACACACAACACCCAACACAAACAACGACACACAAGACACAGCACTCAGCACACAACACACAACACACAACACACAATACACAATACACAACACACGGCACAGAGCACACAGCACACAGCACACAGTTCACAAGACACAACACACAGCACACAACACACAGCACGCATCAGCCAGCACACAAAACACGACGCACAACACACAACGCACAACACACAACGCACACCACACAGCACACAACACACACAACACAACACACAACACACAGCACACAACACACACCACACACCACACAACACACAGCACACAACGCACAACACACGACACACATCACACAACATTCAACACACAATACACACCACAACATACAACACACAACACACAACACACAACACACAGCCCAACGCACAGCACACAACACACGGCACACAGTTCGCTACACAACACACAACACACAACACACACCACAACACGCAACACACAAACTGCAACGCACACCGCACAACCCACAACCCACAACTCACAACCCACAACCCACAACACAGCACACAACACACAACACACAAGGCGCAACACACGCATACACAACCCACAACCCACAACCCACAACCCACAACACACAACCCACAACCCACAACCCACAACCCACAACACACAGCGCGCAGCAAACAACACACCACACACAACACGCAACACACAGCACACAGCACACAACCCACACCACACACCACACACCACACACCACACACCACACAACACACACACACACCACACAACACAACACACAACACACATCACACAACACGCATTAGACAACGCAGCACACGACACACAACACACAACACACAACCCACAGCACACAACACACAACACACACCACACAACCCACAACACACAACATATAATCTATAACACACGACACACAGCACACACCACAGCACACAGCTCACAGCACACAACACACAACGCACACCACACAACACAAACCACACAGCACAAACCACACACAACACGCTACACACAGCACACAATTCACACCACACAACACACAACACACAACACAACAAACACCACAACAGACAACACATTACACACACCACACAACACACAAGACGCAAGACACAAAACACACGACACACTACACAATATACAACACACAACACACACTACACAACATACAGAACACACCACACAACGCATAACGCACAACGGACAACGCACAACGCACAACGCACAACGCGCACCACTCAGCGCAAACCACACAACGCACAACACACAACACACATGACACACCACACAACGCACAACCCACACCATGCAACGCACACGCACTTACACTCGCACGGGCGCGCTCGAACGCGCGCGCGCACGCGCGCACGCACGCGCGCATCCGCGCGCGCCCGCACGCACGCACGCACGCACGCGCGCGCGCACGCGCACGCGCACGCGCACGCGCACGCGCACGCACACGCGCACGCGCGCGCACACGCCCACGCGCACACGCACACGCACACGCGCACGCACACGCACACGCACACGCACACGCACACGCACACACACAACACACACAACCCACACAACCGCACGCACAAAACCCACACCACACAATACACAACACCCAAAACATACAAAACACAAAACACAGCACACAACACACAACACACAGCACACAACGCACAACGCAACACACAAGAGTCAACACACAACGCACAACACGCAACACACATCACACACACCACACAACACACAGCACACACCACACAACACACACACAACACACAACACACAACACACAACACACACACATCACACGCACAACACACATCATACAATCACACACACGCACATGCACACATGCCCGCACGCACACGCAGGCGCGCACGCACACGCACACGCGCGCGCGCACGCACACGCACGTGCACACGCACACGCACGCGCACACGCACACGAAAACGCACGCGCACACGCACGCGCACACGCACACGCACGCGCACACGCACACGCACACGCACACGCACACATACACACACACGCACACGCACACGCACAGCACAAAACACACACAACACACAACACACACCACATACCACACACGCAACACACACAACACGCACACCACACAACACACGCACAACACACAACACACAACACAGACACGCACAACACACACGAACACACACACACACACGCACACACGC